AGACTCAACTTTTTCAACACGATTCTTTAATCTGCTAGTGCCAAGCCAGCCTTCCTGCTAGTTTTTTGTGGGGGCGGGGGAGAGTGTATTTTTTTCATGGTAAGAAGAAACTGTATTTAGTCAAAATCACATGTACTGCAATGGTAAAAGATTCTAGGAATAATTCTATAATTCTTTTAAATAATAGCATCAACAGATGGTTAATCACACTTCCTTGATAAACTACGCAGAAAATGCTCACAGAGGCCTTTTGATAATAGACAACATCTTTACTACAAAAATATTAGTTTAATCCAAATAAAAAACAACCATCTTAACTTTACATTCATACAGCTTTTAGTTTGCAAATAATTTTCATAAACACCATCTCATTTGACCTTAAGACAACATGGGAGACAGCCAAAAGAGTAATGAAAAAAACCCTGTCTTTAAAAATCATTTGTTTACAGTTGTCTCAAATCCTAAGGAGAAATGCAGAATATGAATGGCCTCCATGCAATAAAGCCAGCACACTATTTCAAAACAAAATTACTGGTCTGGTATACATATGCCCCTTTCTGTATTTTAAATTGAAATAGAATCTTCAAATGTAAGAATGATCTCAGGAATATCTTTCTTCCATGAGAGCTGCTGGCTAATGTCACACTGAATTATGCAATTTCTAATATATTGAGAAAATCTAAATCATAAAATCATCTTTTGCAAACTTTTCTTATAGTGAGCAAGTTATTCTGGAATGAATACCAAGGAGGACAAAACAAGAGAGCTGTCTAGACAGAGAATATAGAACCCTACAGTATTTCTGTCAGTAATCATTCTCACACCAACCATGAAGAGCATAGGAAAAAAATGAACTTCAAAAGTCATAAATTTCCCCCATAAAATCTGTTTTACAATGCTATAAATTAATTCAATTGGAAAATTAATATGCCTGATGCTTTGCTGATTCCTACAAAGAAGTTGTAAATATGAGCCTTTAAGGAGTTTCTGGTCTAAAATAAACACTAGAGATACGAAGAACATATAAAAAATACGAGAATATTGTGATTCAAGAAGCCCATCATTTAAGTCAACAAAATATATTTCACATAAATATATACTTATAGGATGGCAGAAGTGCTTGCTGGCCAAAAGCTGTGGTTCGCAGGTCAGACAGACCTGGGTCTGAATGCTGGCTCCTTCACTAATTAGCAGTTTGACCTTAGACAAGATACTTACTCTCTGTCTCAATTTCCTAATCTGTAAAAATAGGATAATAATGTTATTATCATAATCAATAATAATGTTAACCTCATAAGATTGCGACTGAGATAAAATATATAAAGTGTTTATCACCATATCTGACACAAATTAATCCTCAAAAATGTTAGCTATCATCATCACCACCACCACCACCACCACCACATTATTATTATTGTTGAAGACGCCCTGTAGGACAGAACTCCTGAGGAGAGTGTGTGTGAAACAGATCGATACACAGGGGTTATTATACTGAGTATAAGGGCCTCCTGGGAAGGAAAGAATGGAAACCTCCAGCTTCTTCCAGATATTGAAAATTACTAAAACCTGTCAGGGAAGCCTAACAAAGGCCCAACAGCAAGAAAAGGCAATTAAGGCCCATCTGATGACATCAGAAGAGAAAATGACAGGTCCTCCGTTTCAGGTGTCCCGTCCAGGGATCATAAGGACAGGTGGTGCAATGAGAGAGTAACTGTGAATTGAATTAAATGAGTTGGAATGACGGGAAGCCTGGTCAACTTTGAAGTACAACAATCTGGGTTTACCATGACTGGGTTATTTTGCTTGCTTGTTTTTTTGCGGGGAGGAGGGCACATCCTTCATACTGTCCTCTTCTCTCCTTTAAGTAACTTAACCAAAGTTGCACAGCTATTAACTAGTAGTGCCGGGATTCAACTCCATATTTCTCAGACCCCAGAATCCAGTGCTCAAACACTAACCAATACAATATAATGCTCTTTTTGACGATCCATGTGTAGAAAGATGAGTTCATATTTGTCTTGCATAAATATGGTAGTAGAACTCAGAGGATACACTCTAACCTGCAGGTGGTGAGCTTACAGAAATTATTTTCAAACACTCAGAGTCTACCAACCGTAACTGATAGAAAGCAGTATCAACATAAAATCAAATCCTAAGAATCCATGAACTAAAAGATAGTATAGTCTCAGGCAAGTTACTTAAGTTTAATCTAAACCTCAGTTTCCTCTTCTGTAACACAATATTCCCCTCACCTCAAGAGAGTACGGAGAAAATAGAGCACATGAAATACATAATATAATAATTAGTACTTGGTGATCCTCAATAAATGGTAGCTCTCATCATCATCATCATCACCACCACCACCACCACCATCATCACACCTTAACAGTTTGATATTAATTTTGAATATCAATAAAACAATGCATGCTTAAATAGTAAAATTACTAAATTTAGGTTCCACATTCAATATGCTTTAGTGATAATGAAGAATGAATCAGGAAACATCTCCTATCTCCCTACCCCTAGTCTATGGAAAACAAGGAAAAAGAGAACTGCTGATTACGTTTGGTGATAGTGTTTGAACTTTCTCCCTCCCATATATTAGTTTAATAACTCAATTTATTTTTAGAGTTCACATTCAATTAAAATTTTCATTGATATGTTGCTTAGCTACTAGCACATATCACATATTTTACATTAAAACTCAATAATTAAGTATTAATAAGAATAACAACAATGATTTCTCCTTCCTTGTCTATGAATAAACTACCTTTAGAAATCAGAAAGGTGGGCCGGCCCAGTGGCTTAGCGGTTAAGTGTGCGTGCTCCGCTGCTGGCGGCCCGGGTTCGGATCCCGGGCGCGCAC